GCAGATAAAATTCAACATAAGTGACGGTTCCACAGAGACAAAAAAAAAATCCATTGACCGAAAACACGTTATTGCTGTTTCCAATACACTCCAGGCTACTTCCGCGTTCACTCAACTCTCATAACGAGCGAAAACGTGAAGAAATCCCAGCTTCAATACCTTTTTACTAAGATATAAAACGTTTTGTTTTGTGAGATACAACTTCTTCATTCATCTCATTACTGCTTTAATTGCTGGAACCGGCGTTTTTGTTTAGGTTACGCTACCTTCATGTAATAGCTCTCTCAAGAAACGCCTCAACACAGTAGCGAATTCTTTCCAATAAATTAAATCGTTTAAGTGTCCACATTTAAAGTACTAAAACATCTACGAAAAAACAGTCGTATAACTTAGGACAAACCACAATTGTAAGAAAATAATAGAGAAAAATTGAGCAATGAAACAAAGAAATGATGAACTAAACCGGATTAGAAATCAAAAAAATTATCTAATATATCATATCGAAATAAAACTCATTTTGCACAAGCCGTCGCTTTCCTTCCCCTACGAGAATTTTACGCATGCCAAGAGTACCAAGTCTACCCTAGCTATCAGTGTGAGAATCCCGTGTTAGTGATGTTACTGGTATGCTCCCACATGTTGGGTGCATCTGTAGCACGCTTTAACCCTGAGCTGTACATCTCCAGCTAGTTCTATACCGCCAATTCGATGTATATTATGACACTTCATCAGGCGCCTGCCATTTTCTCTTTCGCGAGTACCAATATTTTTTATGCTCGACGTCAGCCGTTTGTCGGCAAGGCGAGCAACATGCTGTGCCTATCGGATTTTACTCTTCCCATGGTTCCAGTGAAATTCTCAAATTAACGTATACCTATAAAAATCCGTATGTTTCTCCCTTCTTAGTTACATTAGCATTAAATGTTACTAACAAAGTTTGTAACAACAAGCTACCCGCAGAAAACGGAAATAGGCAAAGACGATTCTCACTTTGAAACTGAAACAAGTTAAAATGCTAGGACTGTAGATGTGACTATCCCATCATACTGGAGTGCTTCTACAGGTTGAGTGCAGCTATGCCCAAAAAAAAAAGAAAAAAGAAGTCTAATAAATATCATACAAGTGTGACAGTATCTCTTTGATTAGAACTAAGCAACGGCTTAATATTCTTATTACTCCTAGAACAACACAAACATGTACAACATTTCAATACAATGATTGCTAGAATAAGTGCTGACAATGGCACTGTATATAACAAAATATTAGAATTTACTATCGACACATTTGGCCTATACCAAACCAGTATTTCTGCACTGGCCTCCCGTCCGATCAAATCATAATTTATCAATTTGATTGAATATTCACAGTGTTTTCGGCCAAACAGCTGTATTGTTGCTGTTACTGCTGCCTGAAATCGCAAAAAAAAAAAATCCGGGATCAAAAAAAATTAAAAAAATTAATGAAAATCACTAATGCTATTGATATAAACCGGGTATCGCTTTCGACGCGGTTATACGAAGATTGCATCGACAGGTATGTCATCGTGCAGCTACCACCTGGCTAATTTCTAAATGCATTTGCTTGTTATACAAAGTGAATTATGAATTAACTTTGTTCTATTATGTTATATTACAGCCAAATGTCAAAATCCTTTTCTCCCCCGCCCAAATTCACTTTCTGAGGGGAAAACACCTGAAACGCAACCCAAGTCATAGCAAATGCCAACAGCAACCATTCGCCGGCAAACTTGTTCATGCTCTTTCGTTCGTGGAATGCTTACAAGTAAGTCGATGTCGAACAGCTTAATGTAATCGATAGCAAGTACTAGATCAATTGCAGCTTCAAGATAGTATGAGTTCATCGTGTCAAATCGAAGTCAAATGAAGCATTAAAATGGCTTAGGCCCTACGATGAAATTTATTGGGTTGCATCAGTCACTAAATCAGGCCAAATGAATGATTAAACATCCCGAATAATCAGGATTCAAATTTTTACCTACCTGTCTCTGCCGTTTTCCGTCTCCTTTTATCTAATTTGGAAAAAAATCTGTGCGCATTAATAGCGCGATGAATAAGCTTTGAAACTCCTTAGACAGAAAACAAAAAAATCAAAGGCAACTGACCGCGTTGACATAGGTACTGGATGCGCCCTGCCCGCAGTCGCGATGTTCCGTCACTGGCTCGTGGATTAACTGATAAACAAGGATTGTGTTCGGCTCACTTGATGGCACCCATTGGATCCTGGCTGTTCCGTTCGGCTCCACCAGTGCTTCTAGATTCTTCACTGGTTCTGGTGCTTAAAAAGAATTTTCACGTGGTGTTTATTACACTGACTAACTTCTGCTAAATGTTACCAGCCTAAAATGCACTCCGCTGAAAACGAAAGAACGATTTGCTTCCGTTCACCTACGTTAGCACTGATTTTACCTGAAAGTTAAAGGACTCGTTTTTTCAGGAAAAGATATGTTCGTACAAAAGTTGCGCAGTCGCATCCATAAAGCACTCGCTGGCAGCAAAAAGCAGCATAATTGCAGAGTGCACTGAGTGGTGCCACTGAAGTTTTACATCTTCCTGCGACAATTTAACGTAGGATATCGCTGATTCCAAATAAAAAATTAAAAAAAAATGGGCAAAAAATACGTTGCACACATCGCTGACATTTGATGGACGTCGCGTAGCAGCATATGTTTCAGACAAGACAATAAAGACAAAAAACGACCACTCGAGCAACCATCAGGAAGGCATCACACATAGCCGGAGACATTCAGCTTGGGGCTGAAGAGGTTGTTGCAGCTGCATCTAGCTCATATAAGCAGCTCATACCGATTGGCCGGATAGCTGCTCTATTCTACTAAAACCAGTCAAAAGCTCCGCTTCGAAATCGAAAAAGCGCGCCTCAGTGACGAAGATGAGCTTATCTATAAAATGTCAGCTGCGCTGAAAGTTAGAGAGCCTCTGAAGTACGTGCACCTATTGTGCTAAATTTTTTTCACATCCTAGTAACATGACTAACATGCATACCTACTTTTAGGTCAAACCGTCTTAACTTGATATTTACTATTGTATTTTGCCACCAAAAGTACAGGTTGTCAGTTCCGAGAGTAACATTCAAAATTGTCGGCGCTCTCTCCCTTCCTTTTTTTTAGATGCTCAGTAGGTATCGTTGAGATTACTGTGCCTTGAGCATGTAAAGTCCTCAAAATTGCTGAGATCTAGATGAGTGCAGCAATGATTATTGCATTTCTTATGAAAAGCATAACTCACCACACTCAAGACTCCCGGCACCGAATATTTCATTGCAAGCTGGTGTCATGAATTTACGCTCCAGAGCAGTCGCTGACGCATTTGACAACTCTGCGTCGGATGGTGACACTTGCATCGATGGCTCAGAACGAAGCGAAACAGTGTATTCAGTTGAAAATTGCAAATTCGATAGCATTATGCCGTTTCCATGATCCTAGAAAATCTGTTTGTCTTATCTTATCCTGTGTCTGCAACAAAGGTATTGATAACATTTAAAAAAAAAAAACATATCCGCATTTGCAATAATGATATGGATACCGCGAAGCTCATTCAGGATTTGGCAGCAGGACGGCCTAAAGGCGTTATCAATCAGCTCTATCACTTAAAGATAGATCGAATCGTAAAATTACTCCAAAACTGAAGACGGAGAACGACCGGAGAAAAATTCAGACTAGCATCTGCCATTTTTTTTTGTATTTTTTGAAAAATCTTTCCTCTGGCACAGTAAATACCGAGTTTACGAAATTTGGAAATTATGTAGAAAAAAATCACTTTGTATCAGTTTAAGGGGTTCAGGCTTCAAATCGGCGAAGGGAATCCTCTTTAAGAGAGCAAGAACGACTTGATATCTTTTCTTATTTGAACGCCTAGTTGAAAAAAAAAAAACGAAATTCGAACCAAAGTGAAGAAGGTAGTCTGCTGGAAACTGTCATTGGACACTGTGATACTGTAGTGACAGTTGCTGAA